GCAGCCCAGGCCCAGGGCGCTGATGTAGCCACTGATGTCCGAGCGGCCCCAGAAGTTGTCCTCCAGCAGGCAGGCGCTGTGGGCAGAGCTGATGTAGTAGTGGGAGAGGGGCTGCGCCATGTCCTGGCACACCTTGCGGTGCTGCGGGTCGAAGATGGAGCAGTCAGCAGAGAGCAGGTAGCGCGTGAAGCCATCTATGGCCAAGTAGCCCTTCTCCCGGCCCTCCTTGGAGGGCTCATACTTGCTGACGATCTCCAAGCACTTCTCCTCCGTTACCCCCTCCATGCCCTGCTCCACCTCCAGGAACATCAGCAGGTCCTTCAGACCCAGGTACTCCTTGTTGCTGGAGAACTGCACCAGCAGGAAGAAGATCTCAGGGCGGGTGCAGAGCTCGCAGTATGCCTCCACGAAGAGGTCGCACGCCACCTCCGCACCGGGACGCTCGCTGGCCTTCTGCAGCTCCTTGAACTTCAGCTCGATGGTGGAAGTCTTCATGCCTGGGTTGAGCGCTTTGATCAGCTGCACGGCCCGGGACACAGGGATGTGGCCAGACTTCTCCAGGTCGGCAAGGTCGAAGACAGAGGAGATCCAGGAGGTCCGGAGGCTGGGGTGGCCAGTCCCGGGCGCCTCAGGGGTGTGCTTCCCATAGGACACCAGGTACCGGAGCCCCATCACCCAGGCACTCACCACGTCAGCTGAGCTGGCCACCAGGTCCAGGGACTCATAGTTGTCTCCATAGATGATGGAGAAGGCGCACTCATCTGGGAACTGGTCGGAGAGGCCATTGCTGCGCAGGATGGGTGTCTTTTTGCCCACTCGCACCTCTTTGACCGACTTGATCTCGATCTTGGCCTTCTCCGAGTCCTTCTTGGAGGGCTCCCAGCGCACGGAGCGCATATCTGCGTCCAGCACGAAGAAGCGGCTGTACATGCGGGAGTTGGAGCGCACCTTCTTCAGCTCGCAGCCCTCCAGCATGAAGGAGATGCAGGCGGCCGTGCTGTTGATCTTGCGGTCGTTGGGCATGGTGCTGAAGGACACCGTCTTCTTCTTCTGCGGTGGCCGCTGCCGGGAGCCATCCTG